TTGCTGCCCTAAAACACTCTGTTCAGGCCACCTTGAAAATAAAGGTCTTGTAGCTACAATTCTGTTCCCAGGTATGGCGCGCATGAGGCTTCAAAGCTGTGGTTTTCAAGCTAAATTCAAGGTGGCCTGAGACCAGGGTTTGCTGCACTCTGTGCAGGCCACCTTGAAAATAAAGGTGTAGTTGGCACCTTGCCAGGTATAGACACCTAGGGTAGCTATGTAGCTGTGGTTTTCAAGCTAAATTCAAGGTGGCCTGAGACCACGGTTTGCTGCCCTGAAACACTCTGTTCAGGTCACCTTGAAAATAAAGGTGTAGTTGGCACCTTGCTTGCAGCTACCAGGTATAGTACTTCAAGTTCCCTTTCCGTCAACCGCTCGATAGCCTCTACACACGCGCAGCAATCCACAGCTTTGAAGTCTCATTCGTGCTTTGAACTTGTGTGGGTGTGTAAGAGGTTTGGCAACATAGTATTTGTACGGACCCAGGCTAGCTTCAGAGCAACATGCAAACGACTATAGGATTAAAACTAAACTAAATAAGCCACCTGCCTGACCTTAGTTTTGGGCACGTTCAAGGGCTGGATTCAATCTTGTGGGCATGCTTCTGCTTGCACCAGAGTGGTCGACTGTGGACACCTGAAGGGGACTCAGGTGAGGATTTGGAAGGTCAGTCAAGGGTCCATATGCAATATGTTTCCATAATCCAACCCTTAGGGTTTATAGGCGGTATGTCTAGGTGCACACTCCCCGAAATAAGCATAGAAGTGGATGGCATAGCCCCAACAGGTGGTTTTCCACTTCTATGATTAGTTCAATCGATGTACACAGTGTACCCCTTGGACTTTTTGGTATCTCCATTGCTCACTGGCCATTTCTGAAGGTCTATCACACTTGTGGGTGCAATGATGAACCGGTGATGTCAATTATCGAGCACCCAGCAATAGTTGGTGAAAACCAGACCATAGGTAGGGTCATGCTCAACCTTAGTGGATCAGACCCAGTGTCAACCTGTAAAGCAAGTCCCGTTCATGTGGCCATGCTGCACTTCCCACAGTGAGACCTCCCATTCCATGTCCAGACACCAAATGATGTCAATGTGGATAGATTTGGCTACGGCCTAAAACATCGGATTCCATCCAACCCCCCCCCCCCTGTGCAGAGGAAATTTCCGGGCAAAATGACACCGAATCCCTCAATTGCCAGGAAGCGCAGGTTTTTGTTTTGACATGGTTACCTCTGTGTGGGCAGAACAAGACATGAAGCAGATTTGACACGCGGCCGCAAGCAGCTGCGCGAGCTCATTTGCTTGCTTCGACGCGCAGTTGTCGAGAAAGGGAAGCGCTGGCTTTCGTTTTGCAGCTTCTCAGGTTTGTAATGTTGCCTTGCACAAATGAACGACCCC